GTTCTATATGCCTCTTGAAACTCCAAACTTGAAAAAAGAATGGTGCTTGAGAACTCTAGAAAATTAAATGTGGAATGTGAGCAGTCAATCTGAATGAACCAGGCACAGAGGATGTAGCCATGTTCATTCTGAGGCTTTTGCTTTCCGTTATACCAATAGACAATGAGCGTGTGCCTGGCCCCAGAATGGCTGCTCTTTTTGATGCTGAGGATGGATTCTTAGATATGCAGTAATCTAAGGAAGGCCGAGAAACATGTTCACCCTGTGTTCTGAATGAAGTTATGAAATTTGGTGGGTAAGAAGGGCAAGGATAAGCCTGAGCCTTTCTTGCAAAGAGACAAGGAATTCCTAATTCCTAATTCCTAATTCCCCAGGGCCTCCTGCCCATAGAAGGGAGGGATAGAAAGAATGACTGAAATTAAACAGCCTCCTCAGTGACCCAGCTTGCATAGTCATGGCAGAATTAAGTTTCTGGTATACCTGTTTAGACTTGACTAAAACAGTCAGGGTGTCTCTGGATTATACCTTCAGTGTTAACTTAAAAAAAAACAACAACGGGAAAGTGATATGGTGAGTGGGAACATGTCATGAAACAAAGCCAGACGTTTTGGACAGGGTTATAGAACTGGCCAACCTGGGAACTGACCTGTCTTTATTACCATAGCAATGGGGACTGGGGAGGGGGAGAGGGCAGAGAAGGTAACTAGCCAGGCCCACATATTCCAAGCAGGGAGGGCAGAGGGATGTGCTTCCCCTAGCCCAGTCTGCGACTATGTGCAGATGAGGGAGATCCCGTCCTCCAGAGAATAGTGGAGTCAGAGCCCAAATTTCTCCAGAAGGAGGTGGGGGTTGGGGGGAACAGGAAGGAAATAACCATTGAAAAAACTAGAGTAAATGTGATCTGCGTTTGTAATAGAATCTGGCCTGGGGCAAGGCCATGGCTATTCTTGGCTGGGAAAAAAAAAAGAAGCATCCCCTAGCTCAGGGCTGGTTCCGGTCAAAGGCGTTAGGTACTCCGGATGCTTTGGCCCAGGAGGCCAAGACTGCCAGTAAAAGGTTAAAGATTAGAAATAAAAAACTGCATAATGAAGCAGGAATCAAAGGATTAACTGTTCTAACCCTCTTCAAACAACATATTTCACCCTCCAGAATTTACCCCTCCCCATATCAACACCTTGAAATCTCTCCTCACTGTTCTATCAAATGAAGTAATATTTACCAAGCACTTGGCATAGTCCCTGGCACATAGTAGGTGCTTAATAAATGTTTGTTCCCTTCCCCACTCACTCTCCATTCCCTTTTAATTTTGCCTCTTCTCCATCTCACTCTCTAACTGTCCTCTTATACATCCCCCTAAAACTTTTTCATCACTTCTTTCCTCTCAAACTGTCACATTACACCTAATAATTATATCTTTCCCATTACCCCTTGTATCAGCTTTGCCCCCTAAAAATGTCTTACAACTGCTCCATTATCCTTCATCATTGTACACTTCCCCATCTCACCTATATATTCCCTTGCAACTGGCCCTACAATCCCAATAACTGACCCATCACATACTGCCCATTTGCCATAAATGCCCTTTCTCCCCCATAACACTTTCCTACTCATGTCTCCCCACAAATCCCTCCACAACTCCTTTATGACTCTCTCCATCCCGCTATGGACTGCTCCTTATTCGAATCAGCTGGAGCTGGAGCTAGAACCATTAACTCTGGGGCACTTTGAAGATAGCTCAAAGATATTTGAGCTGTTTGCCTAAATTTGGAGATGGTGGTCCTGAGCCATTTGTTATTAAATGAATCTAGAATCCTGAGGAGGTCCTTCTTCTATTAGCAGGAGCCTGCCCTTCCCTCTTCCCCAGCCCTGGTCTCCCTACTCCAACTCACTTTTCTTGTTTCTTTATGATTCCCAGTAGTTATTTACAAAAACAGGTTGGAGGAGAATTATGGGTCAAGAGGTACCAAACTGTGAGTCCAGATTTGGTTCTCATGGTGGTTCTGATGTTAAATTGCAGTCACTGGGGCTGATGGCTGGCCCTAAAAGGGCAAGTGAATTACCAGGGGTCATTCTTGACCTCATGGGAAATAGAATATAGGAATCCACAGACATGGCATTTTGTGTGCATCATTCTGCTATTCCCCCAAGATTAATCAATCAATCAACCAATTAACAAGTATTTATTAAGTCATTACTATGTGACAGACACTGAGCTAAGTGCTAGGGATACAAAGAAAGGCAAAAACAGTCCTTCCCTTCAAGAAGAGTACATTCTGATGGGGGAAACAAGTAAATAAATTAGTATATTACAAAATACATGCAGAGTAGATGGAAGGACCTTGGATCCTCCGTGAGGTTCCCCAAGGCAGGAAAAGTTGGAGAAGTGGCTAGAATTGGAGAAACATTGTGAGGAGCAAGGAGAGTGGTGGAAGAGATGGAGGAGGAGGGAGGGGTGGGAAACACAGGGAAAGGGTCCTAGCATCCTAGGATTGAAAGTTGGAAAGAACCTTAAAGGACATTTAGTAAAACCTCTTCATTTTGTAGATGAGGTTAAATAATTTGCCCAAAGTCACCAAAGTAACAGAGCTAGGATTTGAATCCAAGTCCTCCTTTTGACTCCAAATCCAGTGTTCTTTTCCCTGTATGTCAGTGCCCACTATAAAGGAATTTATGCCTCAGAAGTTTTGTAAGTGGTGTGTACATATTCATACATACACAGGCACCCTGACACCCTCCACCACAAGCCACACACAAGTACACACTTATATTGTCTCAATTCATGGAAGCATGCACATAGATAACACTCACTCTGATTCAAATGCATACTTATATATACAACTCCACCCTGCCACATATAACACATAGGCTATTCTGGGTGTTCTGGGTGTGTCACAATAATGTCACTATTACTTTTGCATGGCTGTTTCAGGAGATGTCACACATTAATGAATCTGAGATCAAAGATCCAGACATTCATAGCTATATGAATGATATTTTGTATTTTGCAAACTCCTTTTGGCATACCAGTCCTGGAATAAGAGAATCACAGGTCTGACGAGAACACCAAGAGATTTTTCGGGTCCAGCTTCTTGCCTCGAGATGGGACTTACCGTGCATTTATGATGAGCTTATGTAGAGATCATTATCATCATTAGGCATAGGGGGGAGGGGTGTTGGAGAGTCAGAGAGAAATAAAACATTATAGAACCTAGAGGCATTCTGAAGCACCTAACTTGGGAGTCAGGAAGACCTGTCTTCAAATCCTGCCTCTGACACTTGCTCACTAGCTGTGACCCTGAGCAACATAGGAATCAAAGCATCTACATCTCAGGGTTGTTGTGAGGATCAAATGAGATGATGTATGTGATATACTTTGAAAATTCTAAAGTGTTATGCAAAATGAGCTATTATTATTGCACTCCCACAGAGGGGAAAGGGAACACACAGCCAAATAACAAGAATACAAAATAGAACATGATTAAAACTAAGAAGATGCAAAATATGATATGGTCTGAGGAAGGAAAGATGATCTTCATTGTCTCCAAGATAAAATACATATTCCTTAGCTTGTCATTCAAGATCCATTCTAATCTACTTTTCCTGTCATATTTTACTTTAATCCTTTTCACTCATTGTACATTCATCCCAGTCAAATTGGACTACTAGCTGGTTTTTTAATTTCACTGCCTGCTCCCCCCTCCCACCATTCACACAAGCCCTACCCAGGCCTGGAATGCACTTCCTCCTTATTTCTACTTAAACCCTAGAAACCTTCCCTGAATCTGCTTCCTTGCTAGGGCCCTCCTCAAATTACCTTGTAATATAGCTGTAAATCCATTTGCGTGTTCTCTCCTTCAAGAATGCAAGCATCTTGAGGGCAAGGAACGCTTTATTTTTTGTGCATCCACTGTGCCATGCACATTGTTGTTGAGTGGTTTCAGTCATGTCTGACTCTTCTTGACCCTATTTGGGGTTTCCTTGTCAAAGATACTGAAGTGGTTTATCATTTCCTTCTCCAGCTCATTTTAAAGATGAGGAACTGAGGCAAACTGGGAGGATTAAATGACTTGCCCAGGGTCACACAGTTAGTAAGTTTCTGTGTAAGTAACTGTTGTATACTTCTACAATATGTCAGGGAAGGAAGGAAGGAAGGAAGGAAGAAAGAAAGAAAGAAAGAAAGAAAGAAAGAAAGAAAGAAAGAAAGAAAGAAAGAAAGAAAGAAAGAAAGAAAGAAAGAAAGAAAGAAAGAAAGAAAGAAAGAAAGAAAGGAAGGAAGGAAGGAAGGAAGGAAGGAAGAAAGAAAGAAAGAAAGTTCCTCTAGTGTCGTTTCTGAGGCTAGAATCTGGGTTGCAGTGTCTAGTGACTCAGAAGATTCACATAACAGACTTCAGGAACCTAGCAAGTACAACCTAGTACCGTAGCTCTTAGCAACTAGCGCTATTCCAAAGTAGGATGGGTTGCCTGGGGAGGTTGTGGGTTCATCTTTTTTGGCTGATTCCAAGTAGGAGTCTGATGACCACTTGTTGGGTAATTAATTGTAGAGGGGATGCTCTTCCAAGTATGGGTATAGCTGCTAAGTTCTGCAACTCTGAAGTTCGGAGTCTGTGCTCCGCAGACCTGCACGCTCTTTGCTCCGATGCCCACAGTGTAAAATGGCCCTGATCAGCTTCGGTAACTAATGCCACAGAAGCAGCTGGGAGTGGGGCCTGAGCAGGTGGACTAGGAGTGGGGGCAGCGTGCGTGGGTGCCCCTTTAAGGGGCGGTTCTCAGGTGGTTGACGAGTTTCGACTTTCTGGCTTCCCCCTCTACTGGCTTTCCCGCTCTCCATCCTCCTTTTCCTTCCTTTCCCTTCCTCCCTTCTCCTGCTCCTCTTCCTCCTCTTCCTTGTCTTGCTCTTCTTCCTCACCTTCCTCCTCCTCCTCCTCCCCCTCTTCTTCTCCTCCTCCTCCTTCTTCCACCCCCCCCTTCTGTTTTCCCCTCCCCCTGGGGGAGGCTCTCACCTGGGCGGACCTGCAGAAGCAGCCAATGGGCTGATGGGGCGGGCCGCAGGGTCTGGGTAGCGGCTACCGCCACAGCGGTCGGGTCTTGCAGTGTCGGGGGTTCTTGTTGGGGGAGAGTGCCAGTGATGACTGCCCTTAGCCGGACTGAGGACGCTGTCGACCCGCCCAGGTAACGCAGGCACTGGTGACCCCGCCGGACTGACGGACGAAAGGACATATAGACTGAAGAACAGATGGTGAGAGTGTCAGAGCTTCCTCCAGCGTGGACCAAAAGATTAACAGACTGCCAGAAAGACCACCAGCTAGCTCTCTAGGGAGGCGCGTGAGTGGAGGGGGTAGGAGGTGCTGGCAGGCAGGCAGACAGACAGCCACAGTCTGACAAGCAGACAACCCGACTGCCCGCGCCTGAGCTGCACAGACAGGCGCTGTCTAGTCCTTGCTCAGTCTGGGGGCGCGGGACTCCGGGACGCTCCGCCTGCCCGCCCTGGGAAAAGGAGGGGAGCGCAGGATAGGAAGGGGAGGGGAAGTCGGAGGGCAGCCAGGGAGCCCCCTCCAACCGCTGGCCCCGAGGTTGCATCAGCCTCCAAGAAAGTGGGTTTGCCGGAGCCGGAGCCGAAGCCGGCAGTTTCCCTTAACTTACTCAATGCCCGCCTCACTCTGGGCCCGCAGAGCTCTCTCAAGCCGTCTTTCCTTCGGTCCTCTCCTTTCGTTCTCTCTTAGTCCTTTCTGCCTGCAAAACTTCCAACGCCTCGGCAGCTCATCCCCGAGCTGGGATCGGAGCCTGGAGCCCGAGGAGTTGGGTGGGGGGAGTACCGGGTTGTGGACTGAGAGCACCCGGCTCTCTCGCTGGCTCTCTCCACTGTGCAGCCTCAGTGCTGCCGACCTGTGCTCTCTGCCCTTCTGGTCTCCTAGAGCCAAGTCTGTCTTGGCCGGGGACCTCTGAAGGCCACTTAGCGTTCCGATTGCATATTTACTAACTGCTTTCTCTGACCTACCACGCCTCTTGGGGGGGGGAGTGAAGGGAGGGGGGCGTCGAGGAGAGGGTCTGCCCGTGGTTTGTTTTTCCACTGTATATAAACACTTTCCTTTGGACCAAGAGGTTACCACCGGCTGCCTGGAATGCCGGCGATGTTTGGCTGCTGAGGCCAGGGTGGCGGGACTGGGTTCCCGTGACTTCTCCAAAACCTCTTGAGGTAGGTTTGAAGTGCTGGCCTCTTCCTCCTAAACCTCCCAAGCCTAGTCCCGAAGTTTTTCCATGATTTCACTTCTGAGGGCAGTGGGCTTGATGGCTTGGCACAGGAATAAGGACCATTTTATCTTGAAAGTGGCCTAAGGCCATGGAGTGGGCACTAACCACTAAGAGGTATGGAAGGAAAGATACTGATTGGTTTGAGGATGTAGAGAAGCAGGTTATATTGGACTAATGTAGAAAAAGAAGCTGAGTGTGTTTGGCCCAAGAGACTCAGACTATTGAAGTTTTGTGGACACAGTTGCCTCTTACTAGTCTAATCCTAACCCTCAAAAAGAATGAAGTTGGGAGGGCAGCCTGGCACCTCTATAAATGGAAACACCCCTCCATTTTAAGGTTCCACTATTAGGAAAGGAGAAGGCCCATCCATATGAAGGTAGGCAATGACTTGGAGAGAGGAACTTCTTCTCTGGAAGTTTTAGTGAACTATAAGCTCAACATGAACTACTCAGTCACTAAGAATTTATTAAGCACCTACTATGTGCTAGGTACTGTGCAGAAGTGCTGGGGATACAAAGAAATGCAAAAGACAGTCCCTACCTTCTAGGAGCTAACAATCTAATGGGGGACTAAGAGTGTGAAACAGCAGACCAAACAGCCAATGTAATCTTAGGCTGTATAGAGAGAGATGTAGTGTCCGGTATAAGGAAGGTAATCATTGTCCTACTGTGTTCTGCTCTGTAGGTCAGGCAACATTTATGCTGTTCACTTCTGAGCACAAACTGGAAGGCATCCAAAAGAAGGTGACTGGGTGTGATGAGGGAACTGGAGACCCTGCTATACAAAGACTGGCTGAAGGAATCAGGGATCATTAGCTTGGACATGAGATGACTTAAAGGGAACATGTCAGCTATGTTCAAGTATTTAAAAGGCTGACATGTGGAAGGATTGTACTTGTTCTGCTTGGCTCTAAGGTAAAGAAATGGGCACCTTGCAGAGAAGTAGATTAGGCAGAAAAACCCCCTTGCAATTAGAGCTCTTCCAAAGCGAAGTGGATGGCTTCCGCAGGTTCTGTCACATGATGGGGGTATATTGAAAAGATTCTCGTTCAAATATGAGTTAATTTATATGGTGTATGAAGCCCCTCAAACCAACTCTTTTTGTGATTTATTCTTATCCACCATCCATACTCTACTAAGTTCTGGTCAGGAGGTTCTTCCTTTCTCTTGGCATCCCTTGATTTACTAAGTGGCCTTAGGACACTCTCTCCCTGAGCCTCACTGTCATTGTAGACAGACTAAGTCAGCTTGGAGAGAATCTGAGTTGTCCCAGCATGATTCTGGCAGTTATAACAAGGTGCCTGCAGGGGAACAGCCCCACCTATTTTAAGCAGCTGAACTCTGTGCATTAACTCATTATTGGGCTTTGGCTACTCAGCCTGGATGGACAAAGAATCTTGGCATGTTGAGTCTTTACTGTTGCATTGTTTAGCATTGCTAATAAGGGGAGGAAGGTTTGCAAGCTTGTTCTTATATCCTCATGTCCAGGCGGTGCTGTGGCTAGAGGGACAGTTCATTGATAATTATTCATGAGTGCCCTGGCTTTGCCTGCCGTACTCTATGTTTGCCTGTAAGTTGGTGATGTTGCACCGATGCAACATGAAGCTTACATTTGGCCATCCCAAGAAAGCCTGAATGGATACTGGAGTTCAGCAATATGAACGAGTAGCAAACTGCTTCACCCTCAAAAACAACAATCGTAAGAAAATATAGCAGGGAGTATGGAACCTTGAACCCACAGTTCCTCCATTTTATACGTGTCTGTGTCCTTTCTCTACCCCACTCCACCCAGAATTTGACCCTATGTAGTCAGCCAAGCTGACCTCCCTGACCTAGAGACAATGGCTTCTGGTCCAATATTAAATACCAAGTTAAACCATCAATATGGACAGTGCTTTGAGAGGTAAAAGACTAAAATCTCATTCTTTAAGTGACTATCTCTAAGTGAGCAACTTTAACAGTTCCTACATTTGGGACTGTTGGATTAGATGACCAGTTCAATCCAAAAAGCCTTTATTAAATGAGAAGGCAAAGAGGAAGGACTGTGTTGAAAGCTACTTATATCTTCAGATTCCATTCCACATTTGTCAATGTCTACTTTTTCCCCATTATATAATTATTAGCTCTTTATTTTTTTTAAATTTCTTTTTTAAAAACTTTTTTTACTTAAAGTTTTGAGTTCCAAATTCTATCCCTCCCTTCCTACCCTTCCCCTTCCCTGAGACAGTAAGCAATCAGATATTGGTTATACATGTGTAATTATGTAAAACATTTCCATATTAGTCATTTTGTACAAGAAGACTAGAATAAAAGGGAAAAAAAGAAAGTGAAAAATAGGATGCTTCAGTCTATATTCAATCAATATTAGTTCTTTTCTCTGGAGGAGGATAATATGCTTCATCATGAGTCCTTTGGGATTGTCTTGGATCATTGTATCACTGAGAATAGCTGAGTCATTCACAGTTCTTCATCAAACAATATTGCTGTTTCCGTGTATAATGTTCTCCTGGTTCTGTTCATTTCACTATGCCTCAGTTCATGTAGGTCTTTCCAGGTTTTTCTGGAATCATCCTGCTTGTCATTTCTTACAGCACAATAATATTCCGTTACAACCATATACCACAACTTGTTTAGCCATTCCCCAATTAATGGGCATCCTTTTGATTTCTAATTCTTAGCCACCACAAAAGAGTTGCTATAAATATTTTTGTACAAATAGGTCATTTTCCCTTTTTTGTGTCTTTGTGATATAATGTCTACTGTTTTGAGCACAAGGAATATCAGTTTGCCCTTCCTTCAAGGAATTTATAATCTAATTTTGGGAGAGGGATAGAGAAGGCTTATATTCAAATTATTATGATTCAAAGAATTGTTAAATGCAAAGGAGAGGAAGTGTGACTTAGTGGAGAAAGCAATGGGTTTGAAATGAGAGGATGTGGGTTCCTACCCCAACCCTGAGTAACCTTGGAAAATCACTTCACATCTCTGGGACTTAGTTGCCTCTTCTCTAAAATGAGGGGGTTGGACTAGAACGATCTCTAAGGTGTGTTTCAATTCTAAATGCTAATGATATTATGGGAAGACCAGGAAAAATGCTAAGAAAATTTTGAGAAGAGAGAGCTCAAAAGCTATGAGAAATAGCCTATGCTAGATTTGCCTTGAAGCTATAGTTCTCAAGGTCCAGGGGCAAAGGAAGGGGCAGAGCAAGGCCTTAAAGAACAGGTGTTTCTTAAACGGACAATTTGTGGAGAGTAAGGAGTAGGGCAATGGTAGATAGCCTTGGTTGAGATGTTAGACTCTGACCTCTGTACCAATTGGCTCTCTCAGTTTGCAAAAGATATGGGGAACATAGTGTTAGCATGGATTGAGTGTGATGTTGGTTCAGCAACTGAGATTAGTTAGAAAAGGAAGTGATGTAGTCATCCCACCTTGGGATCATGTTACTTGTGACTTGGGCCTTAGTCACCAAGTACTTTAACCATCAGGCAGCTGGCTGTAGCCCTTTCTTCCTGACAAGAAGGATGATTTCAGAAAAATCTGGAAAGACCTACATGAACTGATGCATAGTGAAGTGAACAGAATCAGGAACAGGTAGGAATTTGCCCAGTACCTTAAGGTTCCCTCAGCATATCTTCCTATGGCCTTGCCTGGGAGCATCCCCTGGATATTGACATTCCAAAAAGCTTTGGCTCATTGTCTGAACTGGCTGATGTGCCTAGGGACGCTGAGAAGGAGGAATGGTGCTGGGAGGAAAGGGCCAAGTTATTGGGTTGGTTGGTTGGTTTGGGAAGAAGAACAAATTCAAATTTCACTGTGTCAGAACTCACCCAGGGCCAAGTGCTTCCTTCAGGGGAGTACAACTTCATGGAACTCGGCCAAGGCCATGGTGGAGAATGCTATTCTTTATTTTGGGCACATGTAGGCAGAGGCACAGACAAGTCCATCTTGAGATGAGAAGGAAGAACACCTTCCTTCTCCCTCTTCCCCAGGCACTTAGCTACATATTTGAGGTAACTTGTTGCATATATTCTTTCTCTGGGGTAGTGGTTGGCCTGGGTAGGTGGATGCGTAGCCTGGCAGTTGGGCATCTGGAAGGCCTCTGACTCTGAATCCTTATGGCTTTGCTATTACCAGTTGTGAAGTTCCCAGGAAAGAGAAAAGCAATTGACCTCAAAAATAACTGTGGAGCGTCCTGAGGGCCTACTCCCTATTTCCTGAGCTGAGCCTTCAGAACAGGGGAGAGCAACCTTGGATGCTTTTCTTCTAGGAGGAGAGACGAAGAGTTAGGGACCCCCTAACTGGAGAGAATGACCATAACTTCCAGGCATTACTGGGCAGCTAGTTTTCTCCAGCCATGAGGATTCAGGTGTTTTTACTAAGGGAAGTCTGAGCCTTCTCTCTGTTTTCTTCTGTTTCACGTGCTTTCTTTGAACTAGGAGCTGCGTATAGAGAGTAATCAACTACAATGCTTCCTGGCTTTGTTAGAATCCTTCCACCATTCTCCACACATTCCCCTTGCCTCTTTATCTGTGACCTTGTCCTGGGCTATGGCCACATAGCTTCTCATCCCTTTCTGCTCTTTCCATCCTTCTTTTCTTTTATTTTTTCTTTCTCTCTCTCTCTCTCTCTTTTTTTTTGTAAGGCAATTGGTGTTAAGTGATTTGCCCAGAGTCACA